TCGTATTAGTTTCAACTTTACTAAACCAAACACAATAAGCATGGCATGATCATACTGATAGACTTAAATAAGCATATCGATGTGTTTGCTAATATACGTATGCTGCGGTATGTCGATCAATTAAAATTTTGCAGTCACCTTGAACACCAGTAACCTGCTTTAATTATGACCATTGTGTTAAAGTGTATGAGTTAGTGAATGTAGGATTGTTACACTTGTCATAAGATTAGAAGGTATGTTTGTTAGGTAGTTAAGATTGTTGTGCATAAATAGTATTGTAGCTTGTATTACTTGGTCATTAAGAAATAAGATACACATTTATCTCTTCTCTCTTCTCTCTCTCTATCTAGAAACTGTTCATCCTTACATACATCAAAGATCTTCAATCAATACTGGTTTAACATGGTATCAATCGAGACGAGGAGGTTTCTGACAATAATATGATGGATAAATTTTCGTTTTTCATTTATGTAATTTCATTTTTAAACGTCATTGTGTTATGAAAGCTTGTGACTCTTCTCTCATAATTTATATTCAGGAGCAATAATTTCGTTGGCAAGATCTTTGGCTTCTGAGTGGGGAAAAGATAACATAAGGGTCAATAGTGTAGCACCTTGGTTCATTCGAACACCCCTCTCCGCACCTGTGAGATCTCTAAACTCATAGTCTTCATATGCTTGCAATTTTAACAACTTTTAAGTTTTTTTCCCTTTTTATAAGTTTTGCTACTTCGGTAGGTATGTACATTATTTAGAAAGGTTAGTTCTTCCAGATAAGTATACTATATAAGAGCGGTGCTCACGCATTTTAATATAGATAAGTCCTACATACAATGTTATAATGCACAACAAAGTGTTCAATTTTGTGTGACTGAATAGCACATAGAGCATTGATGTAATCATATATGTAGCGTGTGTATAATCATAGTAATGCACCTAATTATCAAAATACCAAAATCAAAATCAAATCTAAAGAAGTCATCTCCTAAAAAAAAAAGATGCTCATCTTATTCGTTCAAATTGAGGCAAGTGAGATGCTGACATCTATGCATTACTAGATTATAAAATTTGATGAGCAACTTTGGTTGACCTAATGCATTACACATATAAGCTTATCTTTGTTTTCTCTACAGTTTCTCAGTGTGGAGAAATTTTCGAATGCGATCAACGCCCGAACCACTTTAGGACGTCCTGGAGAGCCAGAAGAGGTTGCAGCTGTGGTGTCCTTTCTATGCCTCCCAGCAGCTTCTTACGTAACTGGGCAGAGTATTGGCATTGATGGGGGAATGAGTGTCAATGGCTTCCCTCTCCCAGAACCATGAATTCGAAATAGCACATACAAATGTGTCATTATCCAAATATAGCACTTGTAGGTGGCGCTAGTGCTAACTACCACAGATGGTGAATAAAATCTAGGTCGAGTGATTTCAATAAGAGAACTTTGGCTACTTTGGTAATTTTGTGTTTTTTTTAATTAAAAAAAAAAGATAATTATGTTGTGGCGTAAGAATGAACAACTGTTATATGTATTAACACGTGAGTGAATCTTTCGTAAACAATATTTTCGTAAGTTTATTTTACATTTTCTTTTCCGATTATCCTGATGGAACTTAATAACCGCGACATCAATGAATGCGTGCATGTCTTCCCACAACTTCAGCGTACAGAGATTTGTGAGCCAATGAATTAGAAAGCAAAGTCCAAAAGAACTTCTCAAAACATCTACGCTACACTACACGTCTCCATACTAGACTCTTCCATGCATTATAAAGTTGCATATCACATTAGCATCCTTCTTTTTTTTCATTAAAAAAATATAAAATAAAATAAAATAAAAACCCAAGATTATAAGAATTGTCAATAACCCTCTTGATTTTCCCTTCATTAAATGGCCTATATTACATGGTTCGATGGTGTGAAAATGGGTCTAAACAAGTATATGGGCTGAGCGTGTGAAAATAGGTCCAACAAATATTTAGAAGGAAATCAATTCAAGGAAAGGCAATGACTTTCACACTCAAAAATTGTTAAAAGAAAGTTCTAATGGTACCCTAAAGATTTGACGTCCAAACGAATAAAAGGTTGTTTTCAGCCTTGATTAAGGGCATAATAATATGTTGGTTGAAAATGACGGATCACCTATTTACATGAGGAACAATGCTTAGCTAGTCAAGCATGACTAAGAATACTTACTCAGAATTCTTTGTGTTCAAATTACAGACTTTTGTGCTTAAGATCAAAAATGTTTATATTATTAATCACACTATAAAGATCATATCTGTAAAAATTAAATTAAAATCAAAGTCGTTTAGTTAATCAATTGTAGCAAATACATAGACGGTTTGTAATACTTTTATCAATTTTGTTCATCTATTTTTATATAGTTTGATAACTAAAACGACCTTAATTTAAATTAATTTTTTGCAAAGACGATCTTTTAGAGTGATTTTTGATATAAAAATTTTCATCATAAACACGAAGTTTGATGAATTGACAACGAGTAATTTAGAGTAGAAACTCCTACTCAAACCAAAAAATTATTCTTACATGAGGTTACTTTCATGGTGAAGAGTACGTGGTGGATACAAGGAGAATGATGTGTCCCAGTTCAAGAGAGTGACCCATCGAGTGAGCAACAATAAAAAACACATACATGGCCTAACAAGGACCAAACCAAAGTCTAGAAAAATATGGTTGCTTGGTCTTTAGGTCACATTTGGAAACCTACCAAATCTTTCAAATTTTTTATGTGCTGGTGACGCAGCAGATTGATAATCTCATCGAGTGGAATTATTCATTCTCGAAAAAAAACAAATTGATAATCTCGTCGAGTGGAATTATTCATTCTTGAAAAAATTAAGGTAAATTATAGTTTCATATTTTCCATTCAAGTAAAAATACTATGTCTATTTATTTCTTTACGTTTTACGAATATAGTAACACAACCTTAGAACATAAACCAGGTGGAGGTGGATTTATCGTGAAGCTAGGCAAAAAGAGGTTGGATTCCATCACTTGTTTTTAATATAATTTCTAAGGAGTAGGTTTGGTACGGTAACCATACTATTTACCATATCAAATTTTTGGTATGGCAAAATTTAGTACCCTTATCACACCAAATTTTCAATATGCCGAATTTCGGTATGCTATAAAATTTGGTGGCCATATACGATAATGGTATTATATCAATTTGGTATGGGCTAGTGGCTAACATTTTTTTTTTTTTTGTCAAACGATATATTTATTAGATTAGATGTTGAATTGAGGAGCCGACAGAATTCAAACCAACGTCGTGGTGCAAGTACACTATGGTAGAGGCCACTAGTAGCCAACATATTACGCTAAAACTTAATATAATTTATAAGGAGTAGGTTTGGTACGGTTACCATACTATTTACCATACCAAATTTTTGCTATGGCAAAATTTAGTACCCTTGTCATTCCAAATTTTCAATATGCCAAATTTCGGTATGCTATAAAATTTGGTGGCCATATACGGTAATGGTTTTGTACCAATTTGGTATGGGCTAGTGGCCACCATTTTTTTTTTTTTTTTGTCAAACTATATATTTATTAGATTAGATGTTGGATTAGAGAGTCGACGGAGTTCAAACCGACACCATGTTGCAAGTACACTTGGTAGATGGCTGCTAGCCTGCTAGTAGCCAACATATTAAGATAAAACTTAATATCATCTTTAATTTTTGAAATAATCTAATATACCTATAACCTCTAATCAAGATCCATCATTTATTATTATTTCACACATTTAATAAGTTAAACCATGCATCAAGGATTAAAAATAAAAATTAGGATTATAAAATCAAATATAAGTTAAAGACTTCAAGTTAAGTTACAAACAAAATGAAACATATTAAAGATAAAAGTTAGTGATTAGAATATTATATATATATATAATTAAATATGGAAGAGGATCCTCTCCAGATCCACTTTAGGGATCCCCACATCTTAACCGTTTATCGTACATCATGCGGTCAATTTTCGTCAGATACAATTTATGTTTAATTTTAAATAAAAAAAATCAAATAATTTCTAACTGCACGATACATAATAAATGGCTAAGATGTGGGGATATCCTGATGGGATCCAATTCCATTAATTGAAGGGCTGAAAGGAGACGCGATGAGATTTTCAACGGAAAGGACTCCGGATCCTTCCAAAAAAATCCACCAGTCGGATTCCCCGTATTTGAAATTTGATCCAATCTATTATAACTTTTAAAATGAGCTCTTGTTTGTAGCCGTTGGATTAAATTTCAATGGCCCAGTTCCTGAACTTGGTAGATTTGGTGGAATGGAGCCAGAGATGATCCCTTTTCATTTTCAATCACTTTCATCGCATCACATGTGATTATCTATTTGTAATATCAGCTCATATTTTTGTTTAAGTGTGAATTGTATAGTTTTTTTAGATATTTTTTTAGATATCCTTTGGTGTGCATCAACTCATAAACTAGAGCCTTGAAATCATCACCGTGAAAACATGCAGATATGACCTTGACGAGATTTTGATGCTTGATATTTCTCAAAGCCTCATATTCGGCTATGAAACTCTTTGATGCTTCATGACTTAACGTGTTAAACACCTTCATACAAACTCGAAACTATCAACACCAGTCAAATTAACTGAAGAAAACCGATCAGTGGCTTTTGAGAAAGTAGCATATGACACTTACAAGTAGAGCAAGTCCGAATACTAAAAGGGATTATTAATTTCAAGCTATGAGCTAATCTTCTTTTCTTGGAGCTCTTTAGACTTGCAATTGGGCAGCTTGAGATTAGGAATTCCCTTGCAGAATCTAGTGTTGTCAACAATTGAAATAGCACTCTGATTTTCAAAAACACCTTACACTGATAATGGTCAAGTCTGATAGAAAACTCAAATCACCACCTTTACGGCTTCCAAGATGATTTTGTTGAATGTAAGTTGAGGGTCTTGAGATTATGAATCTTTCGAAAATTTGGAATCTGTCGATGTGTATATTCAACAATTTCATGATACGTACTAGATTTTAATATATGTGAATATTACACAAAAATACCAAGTACAAGAAGTAGTAATACACTCTTCACACAATGAACCTCATTGGTGATTATTTATGTTGCAAACTTCCATATCTACTGTGGTAACATAAAAGCTAGACTTCACAGGTAACACACGAAATTTCTCTATCACAAAAGCACATAAAAAAGAGTTTCTATCCAAGAAAAGTATTCCTAATGGAATGAAGCTCAGATGCAGCATCATTGATATTCTTTAGTCGATCTGTTGCAGATTCAGCAGAACAAGCAATTCCAATTCTAAATATTGAATTCAAGCACACCTCAACTCTATGAATTCTCGCACTGCATTGATTCAGATTCTTGTTCGTGTCTCCTTGAAGAAGTGGTGCTTCTGCAATCTCAGTAACTCGCTCGGGGAGAGCCATCTTGACAAAATTATGAAGGTTCAAGCTATCACCAAACATGTTGTCAGTGGGTCTCTTCCCTGTAAACATCTCCAACAAGAGAATGCCAAAGCTGTAGACATCACCATTCGTTGACACCTCACTCCCTATGCCATACTCTACAATTCAAACATCACATTTTTGAATTTTGTAAATTAAATACTCCAAAATAAAAAAGGAAATATAATGAAGTATATATCTAACATATATATACCTGGAGCTGCATAACCAACCGTTCCTCTTATTCCAACGGAACTTGTTTGATTCTGAATTGTTGAAACATTACTCGTTACTTGTGAGAGAAACCTTGCTAATCCAAAGTCAGAAACATGGCCAGTCAATTCCTTGTCCAAGAGAACGTTGCTTGGCTTGAGATCACAATGAACTATTGGCGTTTCACAATGATTATGAAGATAATCCAGTGCACAAGCAACACCAATGGCAATTTCTAGCCTCTGAAGAAGACTTAACTTCTTGGGTACATGATCTCTTAACTCTTCAGTTCCAGTAGGTGGATGCAGCCACTCCTCTAAGCTCCCATTGTCCATGAACTCATAAACTAGAGCCTTGAAATCATGACCATGAAAATCAACACTTGAACACACGGTCATAATCTTGACGAGATTTCGGTGCCTAATATTTCTCAAAGCTTCACATTCGGCTATGAAACTCCTCGAAGCTCCATGGCGTAACAAGTTAAACACCTTTACGGCAACAAGTTGAGCTTTATCATCGTCATGAAGAACTCCTTTGTACACATACCCAAAACTACCAGCACCAATTAAATTAGCCTCTGAGAACCCGTCAGTAGCTTTGAGTAGAGCAGCATATGACACTTGCAAAATAGTGTTCCCCAAAGTGCTCAATGAAATTTCTTTCCTTTTCTTCCTTGACGAGCAAAGAAAGAAATAGGAGAACACCATGGCCATTCCTAGAAGAGTAAGCCCAAATACTAAAGGGAGTATTAGTTTCAAGCTAGGAGACAATCTTCGTTTCTTGGTCTCTTTAGACTTGCACTTGCGAAGCTTTAAATTAGCAACAGGGCTACACAGATTAATGTTGCCAACAACTGAAATAGCACTAGCATTTTTGAAAACACCTCCAGTTGGTACCACTCCCCAAAATTGATTGAATGATAAGTTCAGATTATTCAGGATTCTAAAGCCTTCCAAAAAATGTGGAATTTCACCTGAAAAATTATTGCGAGAAAGGTCTAGATCTCGAACCCCTCTCACTGAACTCAAAGACAAAGGAATGGACCCGTTGAAGAAGTTTCCTTGCAAATGCAGGACTTCTAAACTCTCACAACCACCAAGGCTACTGGGGAGTTCTCCAGAAAACATGTTATTAGAAAGATACAGTTCACTTAGACTACGGAAATTCCCAACCTCCGGGGGAAGGGAACCTGTGAAGAGGTTATTAGACAAGTCCAAAGAAATCGATAAGGAGGGGAGTCTAAAAACTTGTTTGGGTATTGTGCCATTAAGACGGTTATCAGAAAGATACAACAATTGCAACCCATGGCATTCCCCCAGACCTGAAGGAATGCTGCCCTCAAGATAATTTCCATGCAACATAAGATGGAATAACTTGGTTAAATTTCTTAAGGAAGACGGAATATTTCCTGATAATTTGTTCATGAAAATTTCTAATGCTCCAAGGTTTGAAAGCTTACCCATGTCAGAGGGGATGTTACCTGTGAAGCTATTATTTCCCAAGCACAACAATTCCAAGCTCACCAGATTCCCTATCCCAGATGGGATGCTTCCATATATTTGGTTATTTTGAACCCAAAACATTTCAAGTTTGGTTGAGAGATTGGATATTGACATGGGCAATGTCCCTCCCAAATTGTTGTTGCTAATAATCAACCTTTGTAACTGGGTGGCATTGGTCAAGTCCGAGAGAAAACTTAAGTCGCCATCTCTACCGCTTCCAAGATTATTAAGTTGAATGCTGAAATACAGGAGGTTGCGAAGCTTTTGGAGATTCGGTACCTGTCCGATTAGGTTGTTACCCCCAACTTGAAATGAAATAAAACTTGTGACATTGGATATTGAGGGAGGAATGGACCCAGTAAGTTGGTTTGAGGCGACGCTGAAGACTCCGAGATTAGGAAGACTTTTGCTAATATCTGATGGAATACTCCCTTGAATTTGGTTATTTGACACGAAAAATATATCAAGCAAAGAGAGGTTATAAACGGAGGAAGGGATGCTACCCGACAACTGATTTAACCCCAATCCCAAGAAGGTTAATTTTTTCAATTGGCCAAGAGAACTGGGGATGTCTCCCATCAAGTTATTACCATTAAGACTTAGTACCTGGAGAGACGACAGGTTCCCCAAGGAAGGAGGGACCTGTCCCGTTACATTATTATTGTATGATAAAAAAATTTGCAGTTTCGACAGCAATCCAATTTCTGAAGGAATTTTACCCACCAACTTGTTGCCAGAGAAATTCACATGGATAAGGTCAAAGCAATATGATATATTGTGTGGAATACTGCCACTAAACGAGTTAGCGCCTAATTGCAATACCCGCAATCTACGCAAATTCCCAATTTGTGGAGGAATATCATGACTGAAGCTGTTGCTTTGCAGCCACAGCTCCCTTAGAAAACTTAGATTTCCTATGTTTGGGGATAGTTTCCCTACCAGATTTTGAGATTGCAGGTCCAGCTTAGTGACCCTTTGGCGATGTCGTCGACTGCACGTGACACCATGCCACATCCAAAAGTGCGTGGATTCGTTCCAGGAGCTCATCACGTTGTAATTATGGAGATCTTGCTTTATTTGAGCTTTGATGGCAAGCAGCGCCAGCCTATCCGTCGCATTCTCTCGGAGTCCCGATTGCAGGGAGCTCCTACAGCAAACGAACACTGCACTGAAAAGCAAGTATATTAAGATCAATTTGAAAACCAAAACCCCCATTCCTGATCTGGTTAACTATATAAGTAGAGAGAGAAGCAGACAGAAATAGAGAGATGGGTGTTGAGTTGTGAATTTGGTGAGTTCCATTTGTTGCTTGACAAGGAAATTTATAGAAGGATAGGACCATACGAGGAACTTACACCACAGTTTCTGGTTCTTGATATTCAAATATGAAAAGGAATAAGTCCAAGTAAATGATAACAACTTCGGCTAGTTTTTTAAGATGACTTCACTAGCTTACTTCCACTACTGGGACCCATTGTCAGGCACTTTCGGTACGCCAAGGACCAAGACTTTTGGCAACCATCCAAAATGAAAAAAACAAATACATGGAATACTATATTTTGGCTATATCATACGTCACGTTGATGTCAATATGAAAGTTATCTTGCTAGGCGACCCTAGCTATGAATGGAAATTTTGAAGTCTACATTTTTGGGGGGCTGGACTGTGAGATTGCTGATTTTCTCATAGTTCCCCTAAAGTACCACTGCAAGAAAGCTTGTTGTGGATGCAACCTTTCTAAAAATTGTAACAGTTACTAGTGAGATCAAGCTTTCTTAATTTTTAAACTTCATGGGGACTCAAGACTCGAGTGCACTGATTGAAAATTGTAACATGAAGGTCTAAGTCCCCATTAAACACGTTGTCAGTGGGTCTCTTCCTTGTAAACATCTCCTGCAAGAGAATTTCAAAACTGTAGACATATCCAGTTAGTTATTACCGCCTCACTTCCCATACCATACTCTGCCATTCAAACATCAGAAAATATTGTTAGCAAACTGAGAACAAAATAGTTGAATTATGCAAAGTTAAAAAATTAAAAAAAAAAAAAAAAAAAAAAGGATATTGTGGAGAGGATGTGAATATTTACCTAAAACCACATAACCAATCGTTCCTGTTATTCCAGCGGAACTTGTCTGATTTGTTGAAGCTTTTATACTGGTCAGTTGTGAGAACCTTGCTAGTCAAAGTCAGAAACATGTCCAGTCGACATGTTGTCCAAAAGAACAGCACTTGGTTTCAGATCACAATGAACTGTCGGTGTTTCGGAGTGATTATGAAGATAATCGACTAATCGAGAGCACAAGCAACATCTATGGAAATGCTGAGCCTTTGCAAAAGATTTAAACTCTTGGGTGCCTCTCTTGCTTCCTCAATATCAGTCGGTGGTTGCAGCCACTTCTCTAAGCTTCCTTTTTCCATGTACTCATACACCAAAGCCTTGAAATCGTTACCAAGAGAATCAAAACTTGAACATGCAGTTATAATCTTGACGAGATTTCAATGCTTGATATTTCTCAAAGCCTCACATTCATATAAGAACAATATGTCAGTACAAAACCAATTTATAGTACTAGCAAAGTACATTGTAGAAGCAATTTCCTGACTCAGAATTTCGTGAGTCATTTCTTAAATTACGTTTCTTGAAGGCATTAGATTAAACGGCATGCCAAACTAGAACGACTGAATGCAACCATGATCGTATTAATAAGCAATCTATCTATCAAATATTAAGGCGGAAGTTAATTTACCAAACAATAAATATTTTGTGACTTACAATTCCATTTTGACGTAGGGACACTGCTCAAATAATGACACCAAGAACACTGACTGTTTAGATTGACCCCTCAAAAAAGAGTAACCAGGTCAAGAGTATACCTGTGAAAAACATGATGACTGTTAGAAAATGTCTGCATATTCTGATACTACATAGATACGAGGAAAATGAACTTTTATTTCCAATAACAAAACAACAACCTGCCAGCACATAAAACCCAAAACAACAAAGTAGAAGTCGCTATCAACAAAGTGACCAATTAGTACTACACAGAGAACAGCGATAACAATAACACAATGCCTTCTCCAAACCATTCTGATCAGAAACAAGCAGATACAGAGACTATTCGCAATGACAATAATGAAGACATATTGCAGGACGCATGATATCTACATATCTACAGTAAATCAAGTTCTCTGATTTGATCAAAAAAAATGTGCACGCGTCAACTGTGCCTACCAGATTCTCATGCACGGAATCGATTAGGTTCATGAAGTCAAACAATTAAATCTCAGAGATCGAGGAGGAGCTCACCCAACAATTAATAGTATCAAAGAGAGGACCCATGAGACATATTGATACGTCTTGTGTTTCAATTTAACTGGAGTAGTAACACATCCAGGGGGAGCATTCCGTTGGGTAAGCCATTTAAACTGGGGGCGGATCAAAAATAAAAAATAAAAAATCCAAGAAGAAATCCGGAGACAAATCCGCCAATATGAGCAAAGTTGTCCACGTGTGGTAGAATTCCCACTGCTAAGTTTATTATGATGATGAAAAGGAGAGTAAGCAATGCTGCTAACTGCGGATAGAAATCTGAAACTGTAAGATCAAGGGGTCGTGCACATACTATTAAAGAGGTGCATCGTTGAGTATACAGAAATTTTATTTACCTTATTTACATACATTGTCCAATTTGATACTAGCTCTGAAAGCATGCTTCCGAGTAAACCAAAAAGTGCACCAGAAGCACCAACAGAAATACCATATTGAATAAAAAGAGCTGAAAGCAAACTCCCACCAAAACCAGACATAAGAAACCAATTCGAACTGCAGAAGAACAAATCAGAAAAACATTAGAATTTCAAACCAATTAGTTAAAACCGTTCATCAAAACGACTGTACATGATGTACAGATGTAGATCAGCATCAAACTATTATTTTTTCAATCTTTTTGAATAGACGGCATCTCGAAACATTTCAAAATGAGGTGCTACGTCTACATGTACAGGATATCCAAAACAATCCTTGTTCCCACAGATGTGATGGAAAACTGAAATAATCTCTCACCTTCTGTTTCAAGGAATTTTATTCTATAAAATTAAATTTTATGTCTAAAACTAAAGTTTGAACCCCATCTTCGGTGTATGAACTCTTTTCTTTGCTCACCGCTGAATAAAACGTCCTCTTGTTTCCGTCAAACCTAGCAACATACTGGTGAAAGTTATTCTGCAACCAGCACTACATGACCACTACTCTAGGATCACAATTCAATAAACAAATGCATAGAAATCCTCTGTAGATTAATCGCAAGTAGCTGAAACCATCCGGAAAGTGTTTCTCTTCTAGATTTATGAAAGAAGTTTTGCACTTGGTAACTAATTTATTCTACAATTTATGTCGTGTGCTTTATCTTTTACTACAAACATTTATGGATGTGGCTATGCATGCATGATAACATACATGAAGCTAAAAATCCAGATGCATACCAAAACCAAATTCTTGCTTAAGCCGAATTCCAATGAATACAAGACTCAGCATATTGGCAAGCACGTGGAAAACTCCAGCATGTAACCACATACATGAGATCAGCCGCCATCCCTGGTGTCGATAAACCACTCTCTGCATGTCTAGAGCACCCATCTTTTCTAACCTTCAGGATGAAAACACATGAGAAACAAGTTAGATACTTAGATGTGCAGCTGAGACCTATTGACCCTTATGGGGCATGTCTATAGCTCTTATTTCCATACAGATGATAGCTCCCTCGCCCTTGTAGTGCTACATTTAGCAGTTATAGACTTTTAGCAGTTATACATACTGAAACGAGCACATTAAACAGCTTTAAAGAATGACAAACAAGTCCTTGAAGGACGCATACCCGCTCTTACCAGAGATATTAGGACAAACAATTTCATTTTTCCATAATCATTCTACCATTGACCTCACAGGGCAAGGAAAGTCGAACGAAAATTTTGAAACTAAATCGCTAAAGAACACTACTGTAAAACTTTAACCCTGTAACATATTACAGGGGACATTTTGGTTAACAAAGCAATCTAATCAAGCCAAGCAGTTCACTACTTGCAGCTCTTCAAGCACCTTTCTTCTTTGTTCAAGCATTTCCGATATGCCGACATCAAATAGACATCAAGCATTGCCTGAATGTCACTAAATACATAAACCCTCATTCCCCGTCAAGCTCCTTTAAGTTTCTCAACTAATCGTAGATTCGCCTCTACATTCACTAGGGTTCCCAAGTCCAACATTGATTAAAAGCAGAATTACATCAAGCTTCATGCAGTTCAACTATTTTCTTTACAAATATATGTAATATAACCAAAATTCTAAATCCACCATGTCATAAAATTTTCCAAAAAATGGTAAAAACATAACTTTCACAATTAGGGCTGGTTTGCTATTACTATACTTTGAAAAAAAGCTTCTTCTGCTGTGCTCTAAGAATAAACAACTGTAAAATAAATCAATAAAGTGTTTGGTAAACTTTTTTGTAAAAGTGCTTTTGGAAAAAAAAAAAAAAAAAAAAAAAAAAAAAAAAAAAAAAAAGAGTATTATAGTGTTTAGTAAACTTTTATATAAAACAAATGTGAAAATAAACCGGTTTTTCAAAGCTGGGTTTTGTAGCTTCTTGTTTTTAGCTTTTTTTTCACAAAAAACTGTGAAAAACAACTGAAGCTGAATGTTTACCAAACACAAAAACAGCTCCCAACTTTTTTTTATACCAGTTTTTTTCAAAATCACCGTACCAAACCAGATCTTACTCTTCCCTAAAAAAGTCTCAACCTTGATTGATCCCACTCTAATTTCACAACAAAACCAATCCAACTATCCAACCCTTCCATCATAGTTTCACCAAAAACACACAAACGAGATCAATTTACATAAATCGGTTCACCGCCACTCCAGTGTTTCCCCACAATCCACAACTAAAATTTTCCAAATTTCTACATGTAAATACCCAATAAATCCCAAAACACAAATTTCAATCCAAAACTCCAAACCCCAACAAATAAAAGAGTGAAAGCTTACGTGGTTTTCCATGAATGGCTGAAAGGAGAGGCGGCCGAGGAACCGACCAATGCAAGTGTCAGAGTTCTTGGGGCAGTCGTTCACGAACATGGTCACCACAAAGTCCACAATGTTGGCCACCACGATCGACGGCACCAGCCATGACACCCACCTTTTCAACGGACTGTAGTCGCTGAACGACCGCCGCGGCGTCGTCATCTCCGGAGGCTGTCCCGCCGGGTGCACAACGTTGTCGCTCCGCCGTGGACTCACCGCCTTTATCTCTAAGCTGCTCGGCGCAGCAGGTTGGCCTCTCTCCATAAAAATCTCCCTTTTTTCGTTTTTTTTGTCTTCAATCAAGGATTTTGATTCAGACCCAGAAACCCCATTTGGGTTTTGATTCGAATCTCATCGAAATCAAAATGTGGGACAAAATTGAATGAAATGGGTTTTGAATTTTGCCTCTTTTTTTTCTACTTGTTGGGGTTTTTTTTTTCAAAAAATCATTTATGTTTCTTGGGTTAGTTCAAATGGGGCAGAGGAGAACGCAGGAACACTTGGAAAGAGATTGTAAAAAATGGATTACATGAGGTCAACGAAAAATTTGTCATAAAATTGGTTTAGTGACATTTTAAAACTTATACAGTTAAATATACTTAATGGAATAAAACTTAGTAGTTCTTGTGTTGTTGTTGTAGTACATGTCATTTTTCTCAGAGTGCTACATACTATGCAAATTATATATACTAGTATTTCTGCATGCGCTTAAACTTATTTTTAATCACGGCGCGCTACATGCGACATACGTAGTTTTTTTTTTTTTCCGAATTAATGATACCGATCATTATCAACAACAAAAATAATGTAAGAATTTTTTGATATGTTCACTTAGAAGATTTGAAAGTGCCAGAAACTTTGGGTAAGATAAAAAAAATTGGTGCGTGAAAATCACTTTTCAAAAAAATAATAATTAAATGTTTGTGAAAATCACTAACATACAATATCTACATTTTTCATTTTGTGAAACAAATACAGATACGTTAATAAGACCTTTCATATATCACTAAATCAAGTGGACTGCTAATATAGGCCACATGCTTGAGTTTAGTTGTAAGGTATTTAGCAATATCTCATAATATTGTTCTATAATTGCATTCTTCACGACTACCTGCAAATGCATAGAAGTTATCAATCTCTACAACTATAAAATGGAAGCAAGACAATTAACATGATACGATTAATTCAAAGTGATAAATTGTAAGCTTCAATGGAAACCAAATGGTACAAGAAAATGCAATTGACCACTTCTTTACGATGAAGAGGGAGAGCATCGATGAATATGTTGGGGATTTATTCTAAAGAGGTATTACAAAGAAACAACCAAATAATTAAACTCTGCAACTTTGATAAATTGATCACCTATTGAGTAAGCCTATGAAGCCTATGAAGCCTGCGAGGTGCGAAGCCAAGAAATGGATAATTGATTTTTGTCATAAAATATAGCAAATCAAGATGACATTTAGAAGTTAGGATAAGTGGAAAAGTGATGCAAGAAAAGGGGTACTGACAAAGCAGATGCTATAGCTTTGCACAGGGCTTAATTGCTTAAAGATTCAAGAATTTACATTGGTTTAGGATGTAATATCCAATATTTCAATAAGCCTCTTCACATAATTTTTAAAATAACAAAATTCTTGAACAGTATTAGCGATAAATAAAATTCAAAATACCTGATTCGGACAAAGCAAAATAATCAATGCCTCTAAGTCAACACTAAGAAGCAAACCACCAAATTCTATTGTTAACCAAAATCTAACCTCTAAGTCAAACTGAGATGATTATCTGGTTCTTTGTAGAGGAATCTCCACTCACTGGTATCCCTAATATCATCCCTTTACCGAGTAAATGAACAAAAAACTACCAAAAAAAAGGAGAAATCAAATGTAGTTTTTGAATGCCCACTGACCACTGATTTCAATAATCTCGTCATCTTCTTCTTTTGAATTTGTAATATGTACACACGTTGAAAAAATCTACTTATATTTCCAAATGCAGCATAAAATAATTTAGTACAAATATTTAACCTAGCAATAAACTTGGAAAGCAAAAATAAGTAGGAGATAAAGAAAAGAAAGATGAAGAAAATAAAAATAAGAAATTTATTAAACTGATTGTATTATGATTCGATTCAACGATAATTACACATTTACATAATCAGGCACACCTCTTATTAATTTAAAGAGATACAAAAAACTTTTGAATTAACCTGTCATCTCCTTCCACATTGCTTTGACATTTATCCTATCTAAGATCCCACCTGCTATCAAATAAAAAAGAAACGAACTTCTGCATGAAAAAAAAAGTCATGAGAAGTCTTGCATTCGGTCCAAGAGAAACAAACTGAATCAGTTTTAGATACTTGCAAGGCTTTAGCCAGAAACAATGCGTTGTTTAATTTGGTGTACACGATTAAAGATACAATAGCAATAGCAAATTCAACGGAGAGATTGAGAGGAGGAGTAACCATCAGCATCGGCAGTAGCCATTTCGACATCTTGTAGAGTTATCAGTCCCTTCATCATAGCCTCCCCTTGATGCTAAAATCAAAATTAAATTACATAAAAATTAAATAAATATACAAACACATACATACAGAAAAATTGAATGAAGAAATACCAAGAAAATTGATGGAGTAATTAGTTACTATCTTCAAAACGGGGCATGTACTGCCGACCCTTCTTCTTTAAATACTGGTATGTGGATTCTAGGTGTAGAGAAGCACGATCAATTTTTTTTTTTTATATTGAAAAGCACGATCGCGTCGTGCGTTTTCATCCTCCCCTCTCATGCCGTAGATTTCAGTTTTTTGTGGCAGTTTTTTTGTGTGGTTTCAGTTTTGACACCACTTTTTATTTTTTTTGTGTTTTCTGTTATTATCTAAAACAAAATAAAATAAATATGTGTTTACGGAAATACCCTGGGTATTTTTTTTTATGGGTAGTTGTATTTTTTTTTTTCAGGGGCTTTTGTGTCCAGTTATTTTTGGTGAAGTCTTGAGACACCAAAACTTACTTCTGGCTTTCTAATATTAAAGATTAAAGATTAAAAATATATACACACTAAAAGAGAAAATTGCCTAAAACACTGTTTATTCTACAGCCGACCTCATTTAATGGGAAAAGGCTTTGTTGTTGTTGTCGTCAAACGGATTGCATGTTTGAAAGTTTAGTCTTTTGTTTAGAATTTGAATGGCATGTCTCAAAATTTATAGTATTTTCTTTAATTGCCAGCTTAGAGCTCAGAGGAAGAGGTAGCAAGCATCGATCAAATTCAAGTTCAAATATGAGTTCATACCTGATTTCAAATCCTATTTTTGAGCCATTTGTTTCTTTAGTAATCAGGTAAAGCTCAAATATTTCATACATGTCTTAATTTTGGATTAGTCGATCTCTATATCTACACACATACATGAAACAAATATTCATTGGTCCTTTACAATGACGATCCAATGGTTATCAATTAATGTAGTTCATGGATATAATGGATACATTGACAAAGGGATATATGGAAATATGCAGGAAATTGTTTCACTATAACAAATTGAGAGTCGAGGAATCTCTTTCTTTTGAGCTGGCCATGCCGGAGTATATTTTTACTAAATTGGTATGCTATATTAAAAATTAGAGACTCTTTTACTTGCCATTTTGTATTTGTGTTTGCTGAATATAAATAATATTTGAAGTTCAAGATTCCAGTTAGTATATCATCTACCATCATCTAATTTTTGGCATATATAATTCATGCATATTAAATGACTTTTGTGTTTGTGACCTTTTACCCAAATTTTATATATTTTCTCCCTTCAAATTTGTGTTTTTTGCTTTTTTAAGAAGATTAATTTTTGTATAAAATATAAATTTTAGAAACATTCTACCCATAGTTTAGTTTCTTTAACGACTTTTGTAGTGTTAGTTCTGCATCATTTCAATTTGGCTTTGATTGGATAAATAAGAGCATTGTTTAGCTAATTTGCAAATTTCCTCATATTTCTAAGTTCCCTGTAAGCAGTATTTTGGTGCCTTTTAGTCAGGGTTTTGAAGATACTGAGGACTTCACCATGACAAAGAAATTGAAGACTTAGGTTGTAAATATATTTTTACATGTATGTAAAAATATATCTAAAACTATCTACATAGTTTTTTAAACCCCCGCAGTATTGTGCGGGCAGCTTTTCTAGTATACACTAAAAGAAAAAATTGCCTAAAACACTGTTTATTCTATAGTGTTATTTCATGTTTACCCCTTCTTTGTTTTTGTCGTCATTGTTTATTGTACAATGAAATTCCATCTTTAGCCCTGCTTTAGTCTTTGGTCTTTTATTTCATTTCTGGATTCTTCCTTTTTCTCTGGTTGCTTCCCTACCGTGTGAGACTGTAAATTGTTTCTCCAAATAGTTTTCCCAAACCACCGCCATCATTGATTCATCCAAATCCATGAATTCGCAGAATCGCGCCACATAACCAGTCAACAACACAGAGCTCTCTTCGTCCACGACAACCCATCGGTCCACCTCAACGCCGCGTGTGCAACAACTAGCACAATCCCAACCAACAGCGGCACCTAAACATTCATCGTCGCCTGTGAAGAATAGCAGTAGAATCCATTTTGCTAAAGGTAAGCAATTTATCCTAATTTAGAATTCTAAAGTTCTTTACAAAAGCAGTTTATCTTCTCAAACACAATGGAAATTGGCAAGTTATATGGTATAAAAAATCAGATAAAATCCGAACAAGAAATTTAGGTCTGGTATTAAGGATTATTATTCGTTGTGAAAATAAACACAACTCAGAAACAACATTTGATAAAATATCAAACCCAACGTACCCAGATGAGATTTTAAATTTGAACTTATTATTTTGATTTTTTTTTGTTTGTTGTATTTTAATTGCAGAGGGTCAGCAAGCTGTTGTTTGGTTTTGGCCCGAGAAAGGGAAGCCACATGAATGCCCAGTCCAGCTTTTCAACGTAATACAATTGGGCAAGACGCATAATACACTATGAATCGGAAGGAGAAGAAGAAACAGTTACAGTGCGTCAAAGTTTGTTACTTTTTGGTGGCCTAAGTTGGGGCATAAGTCTTCCAATGCTTTGAGTGTTTGCGCTCCTTTTTCTTAATCTTCGTAACAATCATTCTAATCTCTTTTTATCTCTGTGCAGACGTTTTCCAAAGTTGTTAGAAGTTGGGTATCAAAAAAGTTCATGACAGGATGGTGGGCATTTTTATCTTCTGACTCCTATTTCGTTCAAATCATGTTCATATGTAATACTATTTTTTGTTTGATACTCTGTGTAAACCTTCAATTCTATGTTGTGGGGAGGGTCAAATATCTTTAAAGTTGGTGGATTTCAGATTATTCTTAAGATTTAGAGTTGAAAGATGGAATGCTTTAGTAGTGATAGGAACTTAAACTTAGATTGTTGGCATGTATTTATAATCTATTTTTCTCTCTTTCTGAAAGTAGAAGTATATTACAAGTTAGCTAAGACAAAGAACTAGCCTTTTGCTAGATGAATTCAAGAAATGTACAACTTAGCTTATTACAAGTTTTAGACTGAGCCCATTTCATATAATTTTAGGCTAATGTCATATATGGGTGGATTTTTTTTTTTTTTTTTTTTTTTTTTTGATGCATCCATTATGTAGTAGTTAATGAGATCAAAGCTTCGTTCTCCTTCTTTGAGGCTGCTTTTTGCTCTCATATATATATATATATATCATATTACCTGCTCACTCTTTGCTCTTTTGCAGTGTGATCGTATTTCCAATAGCGATCACTTTCTATATCACATGGTGTTTTATTCACTTTGTGGATGGTTTCTTCTCTCCGATCTATGCTCAACTTCGAATAGACATTTTTGGTATGTAGTGTTCTGAAATGCATCCTTAAACCCATTATTTGATTGGTACATTCTAACTTGCATTAGTTATGCTCTTGCGCTTTGACGTTGCTGAGCCTGAGCTAAGTCCTTGACAGCCCACCTCGGCCCGCGAATCGCCCAACTTGCAAGGCAGGAAGTTTACCACATGATCTCGACCTCCTCATCATCGACAGCAGCAGCGGCGACCATCAGGTTCATTTTTTTAATTTCATTTTAATTTTTTTACATTTTTCAGTGGATTTAAGAAAATGAAACGGATGATAATTTATAATGGTAAATTTTTATTTTTTATTTTTTTTCCGTTTAATGTTCTGAGTGATCATCGAGCTGTGATAAGTTAGTGTTAGATTCTGTAAAAGAGTTTTACTTTGGATGTTTTTTTTGTAGCGTAAGGCCTCGATAACGGTAAGCACTTCAAGAAGTATTCATAAAGAATCTGATCAGTTATAAAGTAGTTCATTCTTTGAAGTCAACCACAAATTTTAAATTAGGTTATAGATGCTATTGTTGGATGAAAGTGTTATTCGTACTTTAAAAATCTCATTTTACACTTTTTAAAAATATATTTTTCTTTCTTATATAGAAAATTTAAAGTAAAATGAGATTTTTGAAATGGTAATAATAATTTTCTTGTTTGATTCTGCAATTGTAGCAAAGGGGTTAATCATTCTATTATCAACTCTCTCTCTCTCAGCTCACCACTTTCTCTCTCTCTCCAGAGCAACTCTCTTTGCGGCGCCTTTCCTTCTTTGGCCAACCTCCCTTCAAGAAGTCTACCTCGACGCGAACAACTTCACCTCCATTCCCGCCGGCTACTTCACAGGCCTCTCGAGCTTGCAGATTTTGAGCATGAGCCAGAACATCAATCTCGACATTTGGGTTTTCCCCTCGGAGCTCACTGAAGCTTCCAGCTTGGTCACTTTCGCTGCAGGTAATGTGAATTTATACGGGTCGTTGCCTGATGTGTTCGATTTGTTTCCGAACTTGCAAAACCTGAGGCTTTCTTACAATAACTTTACTGGTCTTTTGCCCAAAACGTTTTTCTGTATCTGGGATTCAGAACCTCTGGCTTAAAAATTAGCTCCTTGGTTGCAGAAAAAAAAAAAAAAATTGTTTGTTGTAAGTTCATAAAAAAATTTTGGGTTTTATTAGTTTATATGAATTTTAATATATTTTGTAAATGAGTAATGAGAAGAAAAATTAAAAAAAAAAAAATTACCAGGTTAATGCTGGGTTTTATGTTTTAATTTATGGGTGTTGGTCAAAAGGGGTTTAAATATTTAGGTTTGATTGCTCTGTTTTATTTGCTTTTAGGGTTTTGGAGAGTTTGAATTTGGGGCAATGGGGTTCAAGGTTTGCGGGAATCATTCGTGCAGAACATCCAATACACACGAATGAAGGAAAGGCTGATCTTTGCGGTTCAGCGGATTTGCCAGTCTCTGCTGCAAGTGCAGGTAATTTGTTAGCCCTCTTAGATTTGCTTACCAAGTTTTAAATTTTCAACCATTTTTAAGTTGTGATTTTTTTTCAATGATGTGTTTTATGGTGTTTGAGTTTAGAGACTTTGGACCCGGGTGCTTCTAGACATCTTGAAAAAGCGCAAGGAAAATATTTCAATCAAGGTAAGCGTCTCCAAGTCTTTAGTTAAACCAAGGATTGTCCACCCACTGTGTAATTGCTGATCAACTCTATGCTAATAACGTTTAAAGTGTTTTGCACATCGCATGGAGTCTGTTATTAATCAATCATGTATGCTTGAGATATATGGTGTTGAAAAAGAGGCTAGATTGTGGATTTAATGGCTTCCAAATCAATCAGTTATTTCATTACGTAATTATCCCAACTTTATTCTAAAATATTTCTCTTTATTTCTACAACAATGGTTTGAGGACTTCAGCCGGTACTCATTTAGTTATTTGTTAGTATGTTTTCTAAATAAATAAAAAAATCATGATTTGTTCACCGTTTGATCTTTCCATGAACTCTTTATGTTTCAATATTGTTTCTACTTTTCAGTGTTTCAATATATTTGTATTTAGTTGATTAAATTTCTGTCTTTACAGTTTTAAAAGGAAGTTTCAAACTGTTTCCGAATGCAGGACAAGAGAAGAATGTGAAGTAAGAAATTAAGTCCTGAGAAGTAAAGCATGTGAATCATTTTTGTTGTACATAGGTTGTTAATATAAAGTTAGTATAATCAGGTGCAAATTGATGATGGGAACAATTTATTTACTCTCTGATTTGTACTTAGAAAGCTGCCATTTTAGTTGTACGTAATCTCTTAATGTAAATTCAACAGAACATACATGCAAAGTGAAGACTTATTTCTACCATTTGGGTTTAACTGCTTTGATCGGTTTCTAAATTATTTGGAGATGGTGTTTTAAAATGTGGGTACGGTTTCAAAACTTGCAGCAAAGCGCTGGCATCTTTGCTTGTTAATACTACATTGGATACGCATGCTATATATATATTAGAAACAAGGACGGTGACTGTTGATAATGATTATGATTAACCTTACCCTTTCAATGATCTATGAATGATGTTCTAAAAGATAGATGAGTTGGATCGTTAAAATACATTACGAAGTAGATCTCACAAAAAACGTGCATCACGGATCTGCCCCTTATATTAGCTAAAGCAAAAAATGATGGTTTATCCTATAGAAGTTATATTAGGGAGAAGTGAAAGGTGTAATGCATGCTTATTGGTTGCTTTTGGACATCAATCACACCAGAACAGGTTTTAGGGTAGTTGTTATAATTAGTTGTGATTTGTTGTAGTAGTGTTGAGACTGCATTTTCAAAACAAACATTAAATTGTTATGAAATCATTTCTAAATTATTTTTAAAGTTTCACTTATTCCATCATCATTTTTTATAAAACGAAATATATATTTCATTGTCACCCCATAAAAATAGTAACCTTTAAATTCAAAAATGAGAAATGTAAAAGGCCAAATTAAATTGTAGTCCTTGTAGTTTCACATTTCTTTAACTTAAGGACTTGTAGTTTTAACTTTGGCACTTGAGGCCTTGTAGACTTATAGTAAGTTTACGATTTCAACTAGGAATAGTCTGTTATGCCCTTCCAAAGTAGTATTTATGTACTAATTACCACACTCCAAATTAATTAATGGTCAATTTGCCATTTCATATGTTATTTTATATTGTGACCAGAACATCAAATCTCGTTTCATGATATAATGGATTGTCCTTAATTGAAACTTCCGCAAATTACACGACTTCAATTGCAAATACTGAAACTAGTTATCCCTTTTGAGCGAAACATCTTAAGAACTACAAGGGTATAAATATAATTTGGCCAAAGAAAGATAGTATTCTATCATGTCCTCCTCGTTGCAATTATTACAAATCTAATTCATTGGTACATATTTTTTTAATCTTTAATTTTAAAGCCTTTGATACACTGCTACGATTGCTTCCCGTGCTAATGAAATAAAAACATGCGTAAATTTGTGTCTACATGTCCTTATTTTCTTAACATGAAACGTCACATAGCCGCATATCCATGCCATGTAATAAGTTATTCTCCGCGTTCCAACACAATTTTAAGCTGATGGTGTTGTCCCACATGGTTTGTATAGACAATTATGGTGGAACTTGCTTGGTGATATGGACAATTTCGTCTCCAGCTTAGCTTTGATTGTGTGGTTAATTGGAAGTGAAGAAATCCAGTCATACTTGTAAACTGCTATTTGTTGAGACAAATTAATGCAATTGCATGGCCTACATTGAAGGAGAATTACATCAAGATTGATCTCATGATATTGGTCGGTGATCTCTAACTCATGAAGGCATGAAAGCGTCTCAAATGATGAAAAAGTAATGTTACATGTACCATGTTTACCTATCACATATAATTGGAATCCACTTGCATAAGTGAATGTCACGCAAAACCTACTTGACATGTTTAAACTGTAACCTAACGCGAAGAATAAATGTAATGTCAATAGTTTATGTCGTAACCCTAGGTAAAACTTTTTTCATTTGAGCTCAAAAATGAACATGACATTAGTGCTTGGATAACTTTCTCCTACGCCAACTAGCTTTTAGTCTACTGATTATTTCTTCCCATATAAAAAGAGAATCTCAATTTGAACTCCTACATATATATATATATATATATATATATATATATATATATATATATATATCAGGCCCTTTAAGGGAATAGATCCTATTTTTCAAAAAAAAAAATAGAGACACCCTCTTGATCATCATTAGATTTGACTTTAATGAAATTCTATGGCTGAGATTAAATCACAAGATACAGAATATCAACTACAGGATTTCATTAAAGCCAAATCTAACGGTCAAGAGGATGTCCCCATTTTTTAAAAGAGATGGGGATCCCTTCCCTTAAAGACTGCATATATATATATATATAACGAGATAGGTTATCATCATATATCACTCATATAATGAATTACCTAAAACTTGCGGGCTTAAATATCAAGTAAGAGATAAACAACGATAACTTATTCTGTTTTTGCTCTTATTTTGATTTTGTTATAGTATATTGAAATCACTGTTATATATAACATTTTTTCACTTAAAAAAAAAATCCAAATTGCCAGAACCAAATGGTAACACTCCATGTGGAGAAAATGACAAGAAAGATAAACATATATACCCATATATTCATGTGGGTTGGAGGACAAGCAGATCAGAGAAGAAACTTGGCAAAGGGAACATGTAAACTATGCCCCCACAAAATATATAGTTTTGCACGCATATACATCTCCTATCCTTATCTGCGATCTTCTCCTATGTGATCTTAATCTAAAATAAATCCTTCATACATCATCTTGTTTGTCGAATTTTGAGGCTTTTGTAGTTCGTGAAATGTGACCTCAAAAATAAATGAAGAAAATATGGGTCATGTATATATAATCCTTTATATTGTAAATAATCAAATTACCTTCAGATAATAATAATAATATTATTATTATTATTATTATTTGGATATATATGTGAAGTAGGGTAATTTGCATGTGTACTGACATGAGTTCGCGTTGATGCAGAAAAACAACAGAGGAGTTGCAAAAGCTTACTAAAATAATTGACTGAGATTTTTCTGGAACAAAGTCTTGCACTTTTGAATAATGGACGGGGACTGAGGAACATTGCACTGTAAGGCAGTTTGACTAGAGGGAGAGGAGGTAGACAAGGTTGCCAGTGAAGCAGGGCTGCTTTTTTAGAAATCAACATGATATATAGAAAGTGTGAAAAAGGAGAGAGATGGACGCAATGGTAAATAATATATTTTTATTTTTAAATATTATTGGTCTTATTCCTCTACATGTTATTATCGTCTTAAATTTTTGATGAAATTTTCAACCATTTTCGTCTAGCCACGTATCATTATCCGTTAGTAATATTAAGGTTTTTAGATTTTTTTTTGGATTTTTATCCATTGGATTAATTCTGGCTGTTGAAATTTTCAATTATTTGAAATCAGATGCGCCACAAAGCGCCACGTGGCACATCAGCATCTTTTTCCAAATTTCCTTTACCGTTGGAAATCTAACGATCTGGATTAACAAATCGATGGAAATCCAACGGTTGTGGAACACCCAAATTGGAAATGTTCGGCTCACTTTGGTGCACGTGGTGGGCCCAGTCTTCTATTACTTAAAGTCAGGCCCGATGCCACCAATTGCCAGCAATCTCAAGGCCTGACAATTGTTGCATAGTGTCTTTAGTTCAAACTTATAATTTATACCGTTTTAAGTTTTGTTCGAAATAATGTTATATTGTCAGACAATTTTAAGCTACTAAATTCTAGCAACAAATCTCGTTAAAGTAAATGCACTCGAATAAATGTAGTATTGTCCAAACAATTTTAGGAACGATGGACTGGTTAATATAACATATATGTATACATGTCTTTTACGCAAAGGATCCCCATTTCTTGAAAAAAAAAAAGGGAAAGAAAAGGGATTAGGTGTTGAGCCCACTCTATATCGAATTTCAAAGATCTAAACCATCCTTACAAAAAATTTAATTCAATCTGAAATCATTTATTTATTTTATTATCAAGATCAAATTTCATTGTTTTTTTTTTTTGTATAATAAAGTATTCGTTCATTTCTTTAAACCCAATTAGATATTTTAAATATTTCTGATTTGGCTAATATTTTACAAGAATGATCTATGAGGTACAAGTTAAAAAATGAATAGTTCGGATCGTTAAAGTTCGATGTGGTGTTGACCTCACAACTAATCCCTATTTTTATAAAGAAATGAAGATCATTTTCTTTAAGGGCCCGTTTGTTTGGCTTCACTAAACTTCCTTGGACTAAACTGGACTGAAATCCGGTGTTTGTTTCACGCGGGGACTACGTTTAATGAGACTCTATATATATATATATATATATATATAGTCTAGTATGGTTATACTATCAGTATCGATTTTTGGATATTAATACCATACCAAATGATTCGATTTGATACAATTATCGTATCATTAATATTCGACACAAAATTGATATGATGCGGTACTGCAATTAGGACTGGATTCTGTTCGAAACGGTTAGATTTTTTTGCCAAAATCAAAATCAAACCAAAATTTTGATTCAGTTCGGTTTATTTTTTTTCTCGGTTTTTTGAAATCTGAAATTTTTGAATGAAAAAAATTGAAATCTTATACTAAAGCAAAACCGAACTAACCAAATTCCGTTCGGTTGGGTTTGGTAGCTATGGTTCGGTTTTTTTAGTCTTGGTTCGATTTTTGGTCTGGTTTCTTTGTTTTTTTTAGTTTTTGGTTTTTCAAACCCACCCCTAATTGCAATAATATAATATAGTATAACGACAAAAATTTCACCCCTAACTAATAATTCTCTTTTCATTTTTTTTTTATCAAATATCAATGAATTGGCACCATGCATCTTTATCCCTAAAATGTACTGATTTTTTTTTTTTTTTTTTTTTTTTTTTTTTTTTTTGTGTGTATACGATTAATTTGTTTCCGGGAAATGGTTTAGAGGGAGGGTGGAAATTTCGACAAGCGTTGAGTTGAATTAGTTGCAAAACAAAACCTAATTCCGTAGCCAAAATACATAATAATCTTGATTTTGATAAATGATGGATGAGGTATCATGTCATTATCCGTCACTGGACAGTTCTATTTGACATTTGCCCCAAATGGCACTGATAACTCATTGTCTTTCGCTAATCATTTTCGTCACTTAGACATGGAAGGAAAATTTTGTGAGGATTAATACTGAACGTCAATTTTTCTTGCTAAAAGAGTATAATCATCCTTTTGCAAAGGCTCCATTGCAATTAAGTTAGTAAATGCACTACTT